AAAGTTATTTGGAATTGATCTGAATGATGACATGATTGTTGTTTAAATTGGACTTTTAATAAAAATCTTGATTTTTGATATACCTGTGTAATTGTAATTGTTTTTTTTAGTATACTGTAACATGAAAATCATTCCATTTTTGCAATATAGTATAGTTACACATGATGACGATCATCAATATAAATTTTGACGATCGATCGAAATTTGAGGACATTTTTCATTAATCATCATGGATTCGGAAAATTCGATTTCACCTACTTCATCAGAAGAGATTTTTCGAAAGTTAAAAGATTCGAGGATATCATACCCCGAGAAAATAAATTTCGCCACTTACATATGGAACTCATCCGAAATACGCTTTTTGAACAAAGAAGGCTTTCTTTCTGAATGGGTTTGTTCGACGTTGGTTCATTCGACCAAATTTCCTGAAGCAAGGTAGATAATATGATTATTGTTTTCGTACGTATCAGGAATGTATCACATCATTATCTAAAATATCATTCTTCGATAGATTTGGGGAAACGCCATATCTAAATTTAAAATACTGGGAGCTGTTTAATGAAGCATTAGGGAAAACTCGTGATGATTCGGCATCATCTGTTCTTTTAAGAAATAAGGGATGCCGGCGTGATTCGACGCGAAATTTTGATTCTTCGGTTATCTGCAAATTACCATTGGTTTATATATTCTCAAGCGTAATGGCTTACGTGTCTTCTTCGCCTGGAGAGGATAAAGACGATCACGAAATGTTGACCTTGTTAAAAACCGTTAATTCGTGTTTTCATCATCTTACCACCGGAGAGAAAAATCATTTTAAACCCTCAACTGAGCAAGTATCAACGTTGGTTCAGTACGCATGCGACTTTGTCACGAGCGTGAATTCCACTCTTCAAAACGCGGAAAACTACGAAGCAATCTTGATCTTGCGTTTGGAGCTATTTTATCAAGTTATTTTGTTTTTCGATCATGAAATTATTGCCATATCCAATCCTAAAAAGGTAACACAGCTATCATGGTTTACCACGACTCTCGTTGAATTTCTTTCTTAACTTTACCCATTTCTTCGCGACTTTAGGCGTACAATTTACTCATCGGAAAATTCTTTGGCATCTTGCTTCATACACGTTCATTCATCTCTGAACTAAGATCGACCTCTTCAAACAAAGATAATAATATCAAGGATATTTCCGTCAATATTCTTCAAACGATTGACAACATTTTTCGATATGGACTTTTTCATCAAGAACATGTTCCTGAATATGCATTACTTTCAAAGTCAGCGCAAGAAGGATCAGATAAAGTCATTAAAAGTTACCATGATCAACTATTTGACAAGTTTATGGAGGTATTGAGGGAGGAGACTAATAACAATCGAAAGTTGGTCGGCATGTGTATGCACACAATTTTTTTTTTTATCATTATCTTTTGGGATTCAATTATTAATACTGTATACTTTGAATGGATTTTTAGTGATGGAAGTTATTCCCTTGTGGTATAGCTATTTTACTGAGGAATTACGTTACCAGTTTGAGGGCGATTCACTTTCGGGACATGCTAAAATCAACCTTCAAGATAAAAGCCGAACATTAGAATTTGATTTTTTTTCAGAGCTCTGGAAGCTAATTCCTCAATCAATGTCTGATTTGATGGAACCCACTACTTTAAAAATTTTGTTTTCTGTCCACGTCGATTTACTGTCCGAGGTTCTACGTTATAATGTTTATCAAGCAAAGAGTGATGACATATCAGTGCAACAAAGGGACTTTCTTCAAAAGATTGCGGAATTCTTAATTTCACAAGCAACTGAAATAAGAAGCAAGTGTCTTATATATATGTTTTTAAAAAATTAAATATATATATCATTAACAATTAAGATCTATTTATTTTCCCAGGTGAAATTAGAGCTGATGTCGCGAGATCACTTGAAATATTGTCACAAATTGAATACGTTTTGTTAAAACCCCACATCATTTCCATAATGAATTTCATATTACAGGTATGGTCGTTAGATGATGCATGACTTTGATTAATTTTGATAATTTAATTTGTTCTCTTACAAACAGGATTATAGTGAACCACCAGCGGAGGAAACCTTGTCTTTGGCTAAAATGATTTTGGAAAATTGTTCGAAATCTCACGAGATGCACTATTTTATCGATAACCTTTGCGTTACGCTTGTAGATACTGAGGTCGATGCCGAACACGTGTTAAGAAGTCCCATATTTTCAAGAGGATTTTTAGATGAGTGAGTTTCCTTTTTTTCTTACTTTTGAATCCAACTTGTCCCCTCTTTAACTGGTTCGCTTTGTAGGTTCTCAAATAAAATATCCACCAATGTTTCGATGACGCAAGCGTACGAGATCATTGCTCATATTTCAAAAGAATTATACGAAAAATACTTGCCCACTTTTCTTTCAAGAGCAGATGAATCAAAAGTGCCAAATAAGAGGAGAAAATTGGATGATAATGGCTATAATGACCCTTCGATGAACACACATATAATGGAACCTCTGATAAGTTTTATTGTACGATTTTTACGTGCATTAAAAATCACACCAACTTTCAAGGATGAGATAGATAAAATTTTTCAAAGTCTTTTCGATCGTCTTATTTATCCTGTGTTGACCACTGAGATCCGTGGAAAAAATAAGTCGATGATAGCGGGCATGGTGTATGCGGCACTAAATTTACATCACACCTTAGTTGACGTATCACCTGATTATTGGAGGAAATTATCCGCCTCAGAGTTTGCGCCTATTTATAATTCTGTTGTGGATAATATATCATTAAAATATCCAAAGGTGGAGCTTTACTTGGTATAGATTTATTATTACCATTAATCTATATCCGTTAAAAATTTTTATGTGATCATTTAAATCAGTTTAGATCATACATTTTTGCCATTAGAACAAGGTTCGCCTTCAACACATCTATCGCACTCTGACAATAATGAGGTCTCCACATTACGATAAAAACAATATGACTCAAGATGCAGAATGTATAAGTCAAAAGCTTTCTGCAGTTATTTCCACACTTGTTCTCCCTGGAAGCAGACAAATTTCATGGTCAGGACGACTGGTCGATTTGAATAATGAAAATTTCGCGGTAGCAAACTCGGCGCTCATCCTCGGAGAATGGCTGGATATTATATGGTAAATGGACAATCCTTTCCTCAAAGATGTTGTAAACGTTGCTTTTCACGAGATTTTCTTACCTTTGATCTTTAGTGCTATTTGTCAGGAAAAGGAGCTGAACTTAATTATAAGGTTCCTTATCAGAGGTATTAACATCATAAAACGAAGTGATAATAAAGTTAGCATTGGGACAGTATGCGCTCAGGTTTTAAGTACCGCCGAGTTTTTCGAGATTATTCCTTTGAGGGGTATTTCAATTATTATCATTAATCTTTAATGATCTTCCAGAAAATTGATTGTCAACTATTGTTCTCTTTCGGTAGAAAGTTTCCTCAAGATTTTTTTGGAAGAGCTGGGTGTCATTTTCAAGAGCGTCTATGAAGAAAGCGGCGTGAAAGATTCAGAGGAGGCTAAAAAAGAAGCACATAATATCGCCAAAATTTCTTTTAAAGAAGATCAGCGGGCGCTTCCAGAATTATATAATTATGTGGCGAATTGTTTTGACGCATCGACGAATCACTCCAAGAAGAAAGTTTTGATCAATATCAAATCAATTCTGAAAATAAACAAGATCATTTCATTGCTACATTTGTTTCCGTTGGAATATTTTGAAAAGCCGGAAGTAAATGTATTGGTCACATTGGCGCTTCTTATTGACAAATTTGTATCTCTATCACACTTCCAGAAAGCATCCGAGATCGCAACCATATTAAAGTGTTCCATATTGTGCAGGAGTCTTGTTCGCAACTATATATCGTTGGGAATCAAACAGGATGACATTGTGGTAACCAGGATCTCAGTAGCTATCTCTTTTCTTCCTGCGATTTGATGTTAATAACGAACCATTATCTATAGGGAAAAGATCAATATTTTATTTTGTGTTGGATACAATCTATATTTGATTACACAAATAGTATTAAAAAAGTGATGGCCTTGTCACAACGGGAACAAGTCTTGAAGCATTATGACAATATATTACAATTGACCACCCAGTCCACGATAATATTAACAAGGTATGAACGGTCATCTCCTTGAAGATGTACATGTATATGTGACTGTTGTTAAGACTTATTTATCCACTGCGTGCTATGATAACGGACTGTAATGATGTGCTGCAATAATCACAGGTACATGATTTCAAGATATAGAGATGACGACTCCCTCAATCTCAATTATTTGACAAGAATTACCAAGACATTCACTGGCGCGCTGGATCGTTCTTTGAATGCTATAGAGTCAAATTTTGATAATATTCTTACGTATAAATTTCTGTGGGTATTTGTCGCGGATTTCTTGAAATTTGGATACGAGTCACTTGAACAACCACTCAAGTAAATGATCAAGAATGTTTTGTTGATTTTGTTTCGGTTCGTTTAATTCGTATTTCTAATAGGACCTCTTTTATGCAAAACAGATCCTTGAAAAACGGTTATCGGGAAAGGGACCAAGAAATTTTAGAACCGTTTATTTCATTACACCGTGCGGTAGAGAGAAGCTCAGTTGCAATTTTTGAAAATTTCCTGGATAATTCCACTCAACGGTTGCAAGAGTCTGAAAATATCGACATGAAACGAAAAGTTCTAAGGCATTTTACCCACCTGAATAGTATACTGAAAGCGTATTGCGTGTCTTGCAAATTTTACAAATTGGATGAAACATTTAAAGAACGAGCAGTCACTCAAGGTATTGATCATTCTTGTAATTTCAAGTGAACATTCGTGATAATTACTGATTTCTTCAATCTAAAGCGCACAAGTTGATATCTTTGATACCAAAATTTTTCGTCATCATAACCTCCCTGTTACGGGTACCTTCGACTGACGAAGAACTCGAAGAAAGACCTCTTGCTGATCGCGAGGAGGTGAAGAGATGTACAGAGTTGTTGTCAATATGTATGGATTTCATTTTGAGTACGGAGATTTATGTGGGTTCTCAATTATCGTTCGACATCATATCATTTTCGTGGGAAATAATGGCGATCTTATATGAAGAAGGTGATAGTAGATAGATAGTATTATTTATGTATGTATGTATATTCAAGCAAAGAAATAATTCTAAAAATTACAATTATAAATTGTAGACTCGAAAAGTGAACTCACGAAGGAGCTGGACTTAACATTTGGATCGTTTTTTTCGCAATTGTCGACCATGAAATATGATGAATGCGCAATTAGCATCATAAAGAAGTTGAAATGCCAGTCTTTCTATGAAATGAAAAATTCAAATTCCCGCGAGAGAAAATTTGTCATTCACTTGCTTGATAATTTCTTACGGAATTCTACAACCGGTGAGAAATGTGCATAACATATCCTTTCTTGTATTTAAATTATCTAAGTTAAAAATCATACAATTTCCATTAAATCAGCGCAACTACGTAGCCTACATAAAGAGCTGCAAGATGTAATAATTGGCCTGGGCAGTCTAGCGGAGTCGATCGATAACATTTATGATGGAATACACATTCTAAACACCATTTCTTTTCTGGTTTCTCATCAGGTCAATTCTTTATTTGGTTAGAGATCTAATTCTTTCTTGACGTTTTAAACGAATGATGTATTTTTTACTTCAAAAAATCAGGCACTGTCACTTCGGTCAAGTGATTTAGGATCAATTTTGTCAGCAGTGCTTTCGCTGACCTCTTCAAATAATCAGTTTCAGTCCGAGGATCAGGACTATCAGAATCTCTTTGAAGAGGTATGCAACTTATTAATCAAAATACTGGTGAATCGGCGCGAAATACTTTCGTCAACCATCGCAACATTTGTCGTCATTGTGCAATCTATGTTTCATTGCTTCAAATCTCGCGGTGAGGTATTTGCGAACGTTAAACAGTCAAAGAACGAACAGTATCAGATTCGTCGTTATACAACTATATGGGATGCTCGCCTTAAAAATCCATTATCAGCAGAAAGTGCAAGACTGTTTTCGAGATTACTAGAGATGATATCGTCCAAGGATATCATGCGGAAACAACACAAAAAGCCACTATTGAATAGACCATTTGCTAAACATGTGCACAACTTAATAGCGGAGTATTTGAAAGTTCAAACGGAAGGATTTCTAGATTCAAACACCAAAGAATCCTTGAGACCTGGTATATTTTCACTCTTAGATTTATGTGGGGAACATGAAAGAAATATGATAATGGTTAGTTTGGACCACGCCAAGAAGAGTTCGTTTAGAACATTATGGGCAGAGTATAACAAAAATTGGAAATATGTTGGCAGAGGGTAAAAGAAAAAAGAAGGAAGAACGCCTATCTCTTCTGGCATTCAATAAGATGAACAATTTATTCTGTGAATTTTAATCCTGCAAGTCACAATGTAATATCTAAAAGTTATGAGTTGTGAAACTATTTGAATGAGAATTTCGTTAGAATTGGTGTCAAAAAAGTGAAGAGATAATTTCAATAAAAATATTTTAAATATTTCAAGCATACATAGGACTTTAACTTGTTGATAATTTTGTTGTATCGAGATTTGTACGCATACGTTTCATTGTTGTTATTATCGTCTGGAATAATCATTAACGCTGCTGTAGGTCTCCGCGCTTTACATGCGAAACCCAAATCCGACTTGGACTTCACGTAGACGTATGGTATCTGATTACTCTTGCACAGCGAAGGGAGGTGCTGAATAAGCGTGAGCGGTGTTGCATCGCAAGCTAAAATGACAAGACTGTTTTAACGTATTAAAGGAACAATAATTAATTATATTCCCAAGGTCGGAAAACGAAATTAATGATAACGTGCCCTTTCTTGCCGTTACGAAGACTTCTGTTGACTTCCTTTATGCCATGAATGGTGTGTTTTGCCTTAGAGGCTATTTTTTGATATCAAATGTCAGATTTACCAATTATTTGCTAGTCTCACGTAATTCGTCAGCAGATCTTACAAGCCCTGATAACCTTGAACAAGTATTCCTCGAATACGGAAGCAGCACAAGGATAACATGATTTATCTATCGAGAGCAGGTCGTATTCTACGACCATCGGACATTGAGATCGTTCCAATTGTTTCTTTTCTTTTTCGTCTTTCTGATCTGTTTGCATCTTGACGATCAACATCAAGTGCGTGTATACATGCACGACAGCATATTACTATTTCAAACCTAAAGAAAGAGAGGCGATGTTATTGAATTGCAAGAGTACCTTTGGTTCAGTTACAGCGATTTTACGCGAGCATAGCTGGTTATTATATGTGCAATTCGTATTTAGCTTATCAAATTTATCTGCACTAATAACAGGAGCAAGATCTGGTAGAAGGCAGGTTATTGAAAACGTCACCACCGGTGAAACTATAACAATTGGATGTACATACAGATACAGTATGTTGATCAATTTAATTCCATCGGCAGTGGGATGAAGAATGTTGAACTTGAGAAAGCAATATATATATTTACATTTTATTTTTTCTTTGATGATTATGATGATAATAATAGAATAGTGATAATAATTTTCTTTGCAAAGTGTTAACATTTATCATGTAATTTAATCTAACATCAAGCCTTGATCGATACTTGCTAAAGATAATGATACATTAAACCCACGACAAGAGCAACACAGATTCACGGCTTTTCTAATGCTTGGTTTCATGAACCATCAGAAATTGCTTTGCGTTCCTGTCTTAATAATTCGAGATTCTTTAGCGCCAATAAAAGTTCTTCTTTTGCTGCATCTAAGTTTGGCTAGTTACCAGCACATCAGTGGTTCAAAACAAAGAAAGAGAGACCGAATATTGAGTCTAAGCAATTTAGTTTGGATAGAGACCCTTAATGAATTAGTAGAATGGTCACCTGTAAAATATGCGTCCCATACTGAGTGACGACTATTAATTCCTCAATTCCGTCCTGATTTAAATCTATTCCAGTAATTCTATAAATGGGATATGAAAATGATTTTTGAAATAACAATTCAAAACTTATAGGATCGTTTGGGTCTTCATTCGTAACTGTATTAAAAGAAAGGATCCAATGTTATTCAGGTGGAAACATCTATCAAAAGAAAATAAGATAAAAATCATACTTTGTTTATATATTAACAATTCTCTTCCGTATGTACCAACAATGATCTCATTTTTACCATCCCAGTCGACGTCCATGACATGCGAACAAAGCACGCTGTCATACTTTGTGCATTCTTCCAAATACATTGGATAGGTTAAAGAGTGTTTGTCAATGTTGCTATATAAAATGATAGATAATATAGTTTAAAAAAACTTTGGAGAAGAATGCTATAATCGGAATCGGATGCATCATCAAAAAGAAATTCGCCATCTACATACCGATAAACAATTGCTTGTTCGACTGCACATGTCACGAGCATGTGGATGCCCCCTGGGTTTACTAAATAAATAGATCACGATTAGTTAAAAGGAATTTCTATTTCTAGTTTAATGGTGGGAAACTCTTTGAATTACTATTATCTTCTTACTGACTTTTACTCGTCGAGGAAGAAAACACCAAAACCGACGTGATTGGAGAGAAAAGGGCGACTGATGAATGTTCTTCAAACTGTTCTAATTTCAGGAAGATAATACTAAATAATATTGCTTTCTACTACAATTAGAATCAAATTCCCCCAAAAAAAATTTTTTTACTCACCATATTCACCAGTTTCGGAATTCAATTTCATAATGGACATATACAACATTCCATTTTGACAACCTGCTGCTAATATCTTGAGATCGTTAATTTCCTTGATTTCTAGGGATAATATACTAAAACAGAATAGAAAAATATAAAAAAAATCATAATTAAGATTGACTGGGTCGAATAATTAATGATCTGTCACAGGTTGACCTGTCGATACTTACTTTGCTTTCAAAGATGCAAATAGTGGAAAATAATCTTGTATTGATTGTTCTTCCCATCCCAGTGGGGTATTATTCTTCAGGTAAACAACAATAAGTAAAAAAAATAGATATATAGCCTGTCTAATAAAGATCAGAGGATTCATCGAAATTACCTCCAAATATAAATGTACGGCTTCATCAGTTCCACATAATAGTATTCCCACACGAATTTCACCGTCAACTTTAATTTTTGTGTGAGAAAGCTGCATTGGGGTAAAATGTAAATCAAAAAGGCGCTTCTCTAATTAAACATACAAAAAAAAAGATTAATTTTCACATAAAAAATCTCTGAACATAAACGATAAAAGAAGTTACCAGTAATGTTGAATGTTGCCTTCTCCATGCAAGTTGTTGAAGGACGATCGTCCGACGAATAAATTCTAAGTGTATGTACAGATTCCCCGTCTTGCCCTTGCTTTTAAAAGAACCATTTGCAGTATTAGGACAGTTTAAATTTATCCAAGCAAAAGAGAACTAAAAAAATTACATAAATGGCCGTCAAAGCAAAAACCAATTCCGATCGAATCGATGAAAAAGCATCTATTGAGACTATCTCGCCTATATAGCCATCGGAATAAGATGATAGAGAACTAATGATTAGATATCCCAAGTTTGGAGCAAGTGTCAAAAAATGTGGTTACCAATATTTCGGTCCAAGGGTAATTCGATAGTACTCCAATATCCTAAAGCAGAGACGAAGCAGATGACACTGTAGAATGAACTTACGAACAGATGTTTGTAAATTTCTGGAGAGTAATAGAAGAAGCCGAATTATAACATACGCACGCAAAACGAAAGAAAAGGACAAAATCCGTACTAACTTTGTTCATCACTTTGTTCGGGATCATTAAACGCTACAGCTTCTTTATTATTTATAAGACCCGAAGGAAATTTTAGGCTGATAGGGAGTCCACTCATCATTTTCGTCTCAAAAACCGATAACCCATATATGTTCCTGAGAATTTCAGAAGCTCGAATAAATTCTTACTGGGAATTAACGCATCACATCCAAACACTTAAAGTAATATTATTACGTTCTTTCCCAAGAAGTGAACCGTGCAAAATGACTTTCGGTATATTGTGGTTTCATCGGATTAAACGGTGAGGAAAGATTCTTCTGAATTGCAGATCAATAGACACGTACTGTATCAATATTCACTAAATTTGTAACACCACTATACGAATATGGAAGTGTAAACAATGAAGTCATGATCTAGAGATGGCTACCCATTTATTATACGTACGTGCGTAAGATCTTGATTCTATTCGGATTGCGTTTCCGAAATCTGTCAAAGAGATCTTTAGAAAATATGTTGCAGTGTTTCCATAAATAATGATCTTGCAAAAAGGTCTTGATATCTGTACGTAAAGAACCAAGATTTCGTATCTTATTCGGGAGCATATGATGTGATATGAAAATTTTAATTTGAAGTGTCCGTTTACATAACGAACTTTTTCGAGGATCATGCATCCATGAAGAGAAACGATGTGAATATTTATAAAAGTTGCATTTTGAATTATTCCTTGCATACATTCTGTTTTATTTAATTTTAAGAAATATCTTTAAACCCTATCCAGATAAAGATGATTGTTTTTCTCGGAAAGCAATTTTTATTTTCCTTTTACACCAAAAAAAATCAAGTTTATTAGTGATCTTGTTAAATAAAAAATTTTTTCTAAAAAAAAAAATATATATATATAAATTAATAGTACGGATTTAAAGTTTAATTTGTTTTTTATGTATGTACACGCACACGTACGTAACATTGCACTTGTAACCAAAATGATCTTTTCGTATCACATCACTGACTATAAATGCAAATTTATTATTTATGTATACAAAAAATAATGGTTTCCCGATTACCAGAAGTTATTCTTGTTCGCCATGGTATGAAAATTTACTAAATCATCATCTTGCCCAAACAAGTGTCGTTAATTGCAATATTTATTATTAGGCGAAACTGAATGGAGCAAAAATTTAAAACACACTTCTAGAACGGACCTCTCACTAACAACTAATGGTATCGAACAAACACGAAAATTATCAAAATTTGTGTTTGAAAATCCCCATCAAAGTAAGAAAAATTGAATTTAAGTTAAGGGAAATGATAGAAACTTTATCACCTAAGACTTCTTTCGCCTTTAGGTTATTTTAATCCTCAAAACATCTCTCAGATTTATGTTTCTCCTCGCAAACGCGCGCAAGAAACTCTAGAATTGATTAACTTCCCTAATAAAGAGAACATACCAAAATTCATCGAACCAAATATCGCGGAATGGGACTATGGAGACTATGAGGGTCTTACTACTCACGATATTCATGTTACAAAAAGTACATTCTGGAATATTTGGTAATTGACTTGTTTTTATTTCTTTCGTTCCTTCTCGTACGTCGTGGAGTAATTACAACTATTGATTGTTTGCAGGAATGATGGAGCTCCAAATGGCGAAACTCTCGATGATGTGGTCGCTCGATGTGATCAAATAATCACCAAAATTATGGCTCATCAAGCAGATGTATTTATTCTATATATTACATTACTAGAGGTTTTTATTCTCCTACCGTATAATAAAATTGTTATTATTTATAAAGCATACAGATCACCGCCCTAATGAACCTGGTGGAGACGTATTGTTAATTGCGCACTCTCATCTATTAAGGGTCTTTACTTGTAGGTGGTTGGATATGGATCCAGAAAATGGAAGATATTTCCGTCTCGACACCACCGTGAGTATTTTATTTTTTATGCACACATCTGGAAGAAAAAAAAAATTTTTTTTCCTCTAATTCTAAATCCGAATTATTATTCGAAGGGATTATCCATTCTGGGTTACAACAAATCAATGCGAAAAAGAGAGATAAGGTCGTGGAACATCATAAATCATTTGTTTCAAAACTAATAATCTTTTGTAAAAAGATGACTAGGCATAAATTTATATTATATGTTTGGATAGTAACATACTGAGATCAGGAGGTACACTAAACATTGCGCAGATACAATGGTTCTTTCTTTATACGTTAATCGATTGTTAAAGAGTTAATTTCAAGTTTTAACTGCGAAAACATTAGTTAAAAGTAATAAATTGGTGTTTTTTAATATTCTTTTCGAGATCACTGAATTGATGATTCATTTGTAAGAACAAATCGATAATTAAAGCATTTGATTTTTTTTTTTTATATTTAATATTTACAAATTTACTTTATATTTGTATTTTTAAAAATATTTAAATTCTATCAATATCATATTTTACATTGGTTGATTAATTATCGTGTTTTTTTTTAATTATGGCACAATTGTCATATGACAAATCTCATGAGATATGGTAGAATTGAATTGCGCCATAACTACTACCATAAATAGCGCAATGCTATTGACCAATCACAATACAGTAAAAAGTATTATGATTTTAAATTATATATATTATACATCTTGTATAATTTAAACACTCTTGAATTTTACCAATTCTGTGATATAATTTACCAAATATTAATAAAACGAATTGGAGTAATAAGATGTATGAAAATTTATCTACGGTAATGCTTTTGTGTTATTTAGAAAGAAATAATATAATATAGTTTGTTTACTTGACATCGCATTTTACATCGGATGCTTTATGCGGCAAAACTCGTAACACGGAGAATCTCATTAACCTGGTTGGAATAAAACGGTGTAACCATTGCACGAACTTTTGAAAAGCTTTTGTTGTACGTAAGTATGCATATAAATACCCCAAACATCAAAAATTACAAATGCCAAATACTGTACTTGTTAATTATACGTGCTTACTAAAGAAAAATTATCTTCGCAAGAATGTCAGGACCTTTACCACCAGGATGGATTGAACAGGTAAATGATCGGTTGGAATTGCATTTTGGATGCCATTTGCTTCCTTGAGTTGAATGCACCTAGGCTTGCTTAATTTAATTATACGAGGACCGGAGAACAATATTATTAATTGAAATTTTTTTTTCATCGATATGAATTAGTTTGATGAAACTCATAAGAGACCTTATTGTGAGTTGAATTTTTTCAAAAAAATCAAATTGATATTGTCAATAAATTTCTGGTTGTCAACTCATCTTCATCCTTGATAGATTTGGATACCGTAAATAGGACTACAACTTGGGTAGGTTACTTCAGAAGAATAATCAAGACTTTTTGATCGATGCTTACTCTCGCTTACTCTTTGAAAACAAGAATGATCCCCGTGTAGCAGCTCCACAACAACCAACTCCGCCCTCGCAATCGTATCCGACGTCTCATCAAGAACAAAATTCAACTTCTCTTCCTACCTATCAGCAATCACAACAACAGCATCATCAACAACATCAACAGCATCATCAACAACATCAACAGCATCAACAACAATATCAACAGTATCAGCAGCAACAATTTCAACAACAACAAGAAAAGCATTACCAAAATTGTAGTAGTGATGTGTATACCTCAACGGCTGCTTTCCAGCAAGATTCAAAACCACAAACAGTCGTTCAACGGGATTCACAAACAACTGTTATTCAACAAGAATCACAACCGCAAGCGATGATTGTTCAACAAGAATCACAACCGCAAACGATGATTGTTCAACAGGAGTCACAACCACCAACAATGATTATTCAACAGGAGCAACAACCGCCAACAATGATTGTTCAACATGAAGCACCACAAACCACCATAATTCAACGAGAAGTACCACAGACCACCATCATTCAACAAGAAGCACCACAGACTACCATCATTCAACAAGAAGCGCCACAAGCCACAATCATTCAACAAGCTCCCCCACCACCGACCACAATCATTCAACAGGCTCCACCACCACCGACTACTATCATCCAACAAGCTCCACCACCACCGACTACCATCATTCAACAAGCTCCACCACCTCCAACCACTATAATTCAACAAGCTCCACCACCTCCAGCCACCATCATTCAACAAGGTTATGCTCCGCCACCAACCATGGTTTATGGATCTAATTATGTGAGGAGTCCTCTTTCCAGAGTAATTAGCACTGGTATGTTTGTTCATCATCCTATCATCGTTATTATTCAATTATAATTATTATGTATTTACATTATGTTTTTGTTTGAAATAGCCGGGAATTCATTTTCTAACTTTGCTAGAAGCATCACAAATCCCTATTATAACCAACCGTATACTACTCAGTATGTAAGTGCTCCGCCTACACACATTGTAACCACACAACAGCCTGCTGCTCAGATCATAACTACACAACAACCCGCTACTCAGATCATAACTACACAACAACCCACTACTCAAGTTGTCACCACGCAACAAGCACCATCTACTCAGGTTATATATCGATAAGTAAAAAATTACATCTTGAATATTTGATAACATGATGAATAGACGTAAAATTTAAGGACGAGAAATAGATCGATGAAATAAATTTATTCATTTGAGCAAGTTTGGTGTTGATTTTTTATTAATTTATTCGATATTTGTTATTGTATTGTATTAAATCAGTTTTAAAATAAATCGATAAATAGATATTTGTTATTGTATTGTATTAAATCAGTGTTATAATAAATCGATTAGCTAATGAATTTTTTACCACACATGGGTTATACCTCAACCAATGATGCGTCACGTCATGTTATTGGATAGTGATCTTTATCCACTAACAGACCTATGGGACATAAAAAAACAAGTTTTATAGGATTTAAAAAATATAAAAGAAATAACAAATAAATGGTCACGTAATTAATTGATTGGACCATACAACAAGTTAAAATCCTAATGATAATTGAATGTTATAATCTTTTATTATTTACAAATATTTGTTTATTGTGATATAATACATACAGTATATGTAATTATAAAATAATTTATAGTGAATAAAAAATTTTTATTATAATACAGCATATTGATTATTTAATTTTTTTTATAATAACAATAAACATATTTATTTATTTTTTAATAATATATTTATTGAATATTTGTATTATACTTAAAACAAATACATATATTAAATATCTTTTATAACTTGATAATTAACTTATAAAAAATAGTTATAATGTTTTTATACAGTATAATGATATAATTATTTTAATATTTTTGCTATTCTATTGATTTTATTTGTTCTATTATATATGGAATTTCACTTTTAAAATTAATATTGGTTTTAATAATTTTAATTATTCCAAATAAAAATTTATTTAAAAACTATTAATAAAACTTGTTTGTAATTAAAAAAATTTTACATAAAATTTTTTTTTTTTTTTTTTTTTTTTTTTTTTAATCGCAAACAGGCATTAAATGCGAGACTTTATTTAAACAATGAGTTTACTGTCATTAC